TGTGAATTATTCATTGTTGTATAGAATTTAATTGCATAAACTATTAATTTTTAGTGTTAGAGATTTTCAGTTAATCAAAAGGAATCGAAGAGGCCGGTACTTACGGTTATAGACTTGTCAAAGCAATTTTAGGATTGTTCAAATAAATACAAGTGAGTTTATCATGATGAAAATAGGAAAATTTCACTTTTTTACTCAGTGATATTTTCTGAATTCAAGCAGGGTTGATTAAAGTAAAGAGGAATTTTTATTTACAGTCAAAATGCGATGACATCTGGCTACTGTTCGTTGAAGTAGTTTATGCGAGATCAAGTAAATAGATACTAGTAAAACAAGGTTATTGTTCATTTCTGCGAATAATTAGTGGACTAGATGGTTCTCCTAACGTTCCGTCGAAGTGGATCGCCTAAAATACAACTACTCAGGTGTAAAATACGTTATAAATATCTCGTTAGTTTGGGCGTATACATGACGTAATTGCAGACTACACATCAAATTCAGAAACGAAGGGGAGACTGCAAAACGCAGGGCAGTTTTCTACGTTGGGAATATCATAAGTGTCACACCAATTTGGAGCGCGATTTGCAATTACGCCATATTCACGAAGAATGAGATACAAAAATAACATACTTGTAGTTGTACACTAAGTTCCATTCCCGGTTCTACGTCAGATATTCTGGCAGCATTATTTGGCGCTCGTACAATACCACTCTCTACGCCATTCGTGAGCACTTTATAGCCTAAAATCTTCTATTAGCGTGGTCCCAATACACCAACCAGTTCCTCAATTTACCTCGTACTAACGGCAGGTCCCAGACAATCTCATAGCACCCATCGCTCATCTCTCGGGCAACACGCAAGTTGCAAGGATTTGGACGATGTGGCACCCCTATGGAAGCTAATTGGTCCCTAAGCGAATCGATATCGTTCTGGAAGGAAACTTTGAGAATATTGTGCCATTTCGTTAAAATTAGATTTCAAACCTTGAACTTGTTGGTCATTTCCACCAAAATTCCGCTCAATTCATCATTGATCCGGGTCAAATTCTCGTTTTCTATGCATAATTCCGAAACTCGTTCCTCTAAGCAGGCGAGCCGATGAGCTATTTCGTTCTAGAATAGTCCCTTATGTCGAATAGGGAATGACTATGAAAGGCGATAATTAACCTCATTAAGAGCGCTTCTATGACTGTTTCTCGATCCCATATCCATCGAGATATCTGTCACAACTGGCACTGGACTTTGTCGCTTTTGTATTGCGCTAGCTCGCTAAATAATTTTTTTACCAACTGTCCTGAGAAAAACTTTATTGATAATCAGTAATCACTCTACTTACTCGTCCACCAGCTGGTGCTCTTTCAGCAGCATGGTCGTGCCTCGCCTCATGCTCAAAAGGATCCCGCAACTGCCGTTGATGGTTCGCTTCCGTCTAATACACCCATGGAATACCATTTAAATGCGATAAACGCACGAATAGTTAAGATCTTACCTGCAGCTGCGCATCACCCTGCTCCACATCCTGTTCCATCTGGACAATTCTTTCCCT